GAGAGAGAGAGAGAGAGAGAGAGAGAGCATTAGAGGCTTACCCGGCATTAATGAGCAGGATAAGTAGGCCAACATGCTGCAGGACTTTGAAGCAGCAGGATCCTGTTGGTTCCACCTGCTGCTGCTTTCAGAGCTTATTTCAAACACACAGAAGTAAAACATCCACATCCTTGGAGACACTGTTTTTAGTCAGTATTTCCTGTCAGAGAGCCAATAAGCTCTCAGCTGACTCCTTTATTGTTAAGTTTTGTTTGTAGAAGAAGAAAATGTTTAATTAATGTGGTGTTACAGGAGGCTCTGAGTGGGGTGGGCACACAGACAAACACGGAGCCATAAATGAACACGTCGTGTTTCACAGGTCACAGGACTGAACATGTCACATGACTATGAGTAACTGTCACTGCCATCTGCAAGGATTCTAATCTTGGGTTGAGTTACCACCTTGTCACATGTCAGAAGTTCTTTTGTCTCATTGGTTGTGGCTGCTGTCACGTGTACAGTTTTCCTCACTGACGTTCATGAACATTCAGTTTCCTGTTCGTCATATCTGTCCAGGTTCTGGTAGTGTTGAAAGCCTGAAAAGGAGGCAATTTTTCTTCCTTTTCGTCTGGTGCCGTGTTTGATCCATTTGCTTCCACATCTGGAAAGTCTAAAACAGCTGTGATTCTTGCATTCAAGCCCTTTATTTTGGCAGGAATGAAGTCGGCTAGCTCAGGTGTGGGGATACTCTTAATGGACTTAATGAAACAGTCGCTACTGAGCATGCTCTTTGAATGGAGGCGAGCATGCTCTCATTAATCAAATTACAGCAGTTTTATCGGGGAACCTGGATCAGGACTCTGAGGTCCACCCTCATCCTCACCTCCTCCTTTTTGGGCGGTCAGAGAACAGCTGGAGGAACCAATCAGAGTCAGTGACCTCTGATCCAAACATAGTTACAAACACATACACATCCATGTACGTGTCAGATATTTGATCACTAATCACGCTAAAAGAAAGCTTTAAGGCTGTAACCGTGGGGATGAGTGTAGTTTCACTGAGTGTATGGATAAACTGATTCCTGACCTGCACCTGCACACAAAAGAAGCCTAATCGGTTCTCTGTGCAAACAGTAATCTGTTAAAATATGATACTTTAAAAGATAATGAGAAAAACAATCACCTGTGAAGATTTTTTTTCGAAATTAATGTTTGTTTTGTTAACCTGTCAGTCAAGCACTTTTGTGGCAGTTTCGGGCATTAACATGCTATTCCACATCCAGACACTAGAGGGCGTTTATCATACAGGTGGTAAGTGTGTGAAGCAGAAAAATAACTCTTTGTATTGTGAAGCTAACACCGCTCAATGTGTGTGTGCTGTTTCTGTTCTTTACCACGGGTTAGTAAATATGCATTAACATTATTGAAGACTAGAGAGATTACTTACTAAGCTTACTAAGTGGAAAACTTAGTAAAAGAAGTGGTTTGTTATGAGAATTGTGTATGAATTGTGATTTTTGGCTGCAGCTTACTTGATGCTAATGCTAGCAGGCTTGGCTTAATGTAGAATAGTGTGTGTGTGTGTGTGTGTGTGTGTGTGTGTGTGTGTGTGTGTGTGTGTGTGTGTAAGTTAACCTAAACCAAACAAGAAACTGCTGAACTACTGCTGAGCTCAACAGTTTTCATACTGTGTGGTATTTTTCTGGCTATGAGAACATTTTTGTACTTTAATGCCGGCTATTAGTTAATGAAGTTACTTTATCATTAATGGTGACTGCCTAGGTTCAACTCAGTAAGAGAGCCCCCCATTAAAAGGAGCATTGCACTTTATATAGTTTGTAGATTGCATTAAAACAGTAAGTTTAAATTATTTTTGTAAAGGAGGTGAAAAAATAATAAAAGAGGTGTCACATTGTCAGTTGATTAAAAAAAACATATCATGTAAATTGTTTAGTGCCATAACAAGTATTAAAACAGTTAAAAACAAACCAATTTATTATGTTTAACAAATACAGTTAAAAAGGCAGATGGGAGGACAAGTGTGTTTATGTTAATTCATTTTTTAAAAGAATGTGTTTATTGTTGCACTTTGTGGTTGTAATATTATTAATGGACTCAATAAGCCTTTTCATTGTGTTTTGTCAAAGTTGTGGAAATCCTAAGAGATTCATATAGTCTCTACCCCAGGATCACTATGACCATGTCTTACACTATGACCATGTCTTGTAAGTGGGACTGAAGCAGAAGGCCATTGGTTTACATTCAGTGTAGTGATACCTGCAGCCTGTTCATAGATACTGTTGATAGAAAACGTGTGTCATTTGGTTCCTCAAACAGGGAGTAATTTCACAGCTTCATCGATGACATCGAGCATCATTTTCTGTGCAGAGTAGTGAACAGAGTCGCCGATCAGCCCTGAACCATCACGTTTCATTCTGATAGCAAACAGCAAGCTTCAGATATTTCTGACTGTTTCAGTCTGCAGATGGGAAACCTGACCGATGAGCTCAGATTACAAACACTCAAAACACCAAACCATGCTGGGAGAGTCAGCGCCACACACGGTGCTCCTCCTCTTCTTCTTCTTCTTCTTCTTCTTCTTCTTCTTCTGTTGCCTGACTCATGTCAGTGACTCATTGCTTTCACAGTGGAAAGGACCTGTTGAACACACTCAGGTGTGAATCCTGTGATCAACACTGTGTGTCCAGCTGTTCTTCTCCACATTTAAATCCTGTTTTAAAACCTGGAGCACCCCTACCCTTCACCATTATCCTGCACCTTCGTCTTTCTCATCCTCATCTTTCCGCCTTCAGCATTATTTAAAGGTTAATGTGTCCGGCTGAGCTGCTGTGTCTTTGTTCTGCTGCTCTGACCTTTATGTGGATCTCAGATCTGTTTCTGGTCGTCTGACCAAGGCCAGAGCTTCCTGTTCCTCCTGAATGATCATTTGGATATGAGATAAGTGAGAGGAAGCTGAAACAGCGATCCTGCTGCAGGGAGGTCACTGTGTACTGATCAGCATTGAGGTCATTAGTACAAGTCTGGGAAGATCTGCCAGCTGTGTTCATGTTCCCCTGAAGGTCCAGTTTTTAAAGCCTAAGTAAAAGCTGATTTTTGATCACAGTCAGTCCCACTTACCCAACATGTTAACAATGTTAACTATGGTAAACATTCACGGTTTCAGAAACTAGACTACATTTTAGGTCACCTCCACAGGCCTCAGGGTTCAGGTGTTACTACATGCATGTCCGCAGTACCTCGGTGGAGGTTCAGTTGTATATCTGGTAAATCAGTCCTGACAGGACATGTTGATGTGTCTCTCCTCCTTCAGCTGCTGCTCAGCAGCTTCTTCTTCATATACTATCAGGCCTGAAAGCCTGTCAGCACACTGAGAGCTGTTCCTCTCATTTTCAGTCCACTTCTAGTGTCATTTTCATGCCTCAGTCTTTCCTCCCTGTTTCCCTTCATTAAGAACAGCCTCTTGACAGCTGAGAACAATTCTGGCGAGACTTGAGTGAACAGTAGATGATCAGCTGAAGGTCCAGATCATCTCTCAGCTCCTCTGTCAGGTCTTTGCTGGATTTTTTTTATGACTTTCAGATCCTGTTCATCTGTTGTAGAAAGGTTTAGCCCTCACACTTCTTCTGTACATATTTCTCTCTTATTTTTAGGGACACACTGCACACCATGCTGAAAACCAATTCCAAGTTGTCAGCTAACAGCTCTTGTGGAATCACCTTGTTGTGTTTGTGTGACATGCTGCTAGTAATAAAGAGCCTAAAGACACAATTTAAACCTGGTTCTTTCCTCAGGTGTCTATTATATGCAGACATAACACTGGTTCATCCTTGATTTAGGAGCCTTTTCATGCTTGATTGATTCAGAGGTCAGAGTTCTGTCAGGGTCTGGGTAGTTTTCCACTGCATCGGTTCCTCCCCTCTGGGTGGAGTCTTTGTTTTTCCTCACCTGATGGCAATCACACCGGCAGTATTTATGACCTGCGCACAACTAGTCTTCGCCAGATTATCTGCCAACTTTAGTCAGTTCTCGGCCTCACGTCTGTACCTTGGTGTATCATTGTGTGTACTTACCTTATTCCTCTGTTTTCTCGTCAGCATCTGGAACCCACCTACCAAGTCTCCTCCGTACAAGCTCTCCTGGATTCTGGTTTGCAGCTGCCGGTAACGTCTCCCCTTTCAAACTGCCAGTCTCTCTGGCCTGCCTCCCTGCATTTCACGCAGTACTCACCTGAACCTTTGTCTCCTGTCTTCCCCCTCCAAGCAACCTCCACCTGCAAGCACGTAAGGCAGCCCAGTGTAATTATTCTCGGATTAACAGCTCTCTGTTGGATTCCCGTGACTGCTCTCTCCTCTGTTTCAGTGCCCTGGCCAGCCAAAGTTTCCCCTGCCCAGTCCCTGCACCCAGTCGTCACTGCTATCTAGTCATAGTTTTGTTATGGTCATAGTTTCTCTTGCCTCAGACGTCTAGTTTAATTTCCTTAATAATAGTCTAAGTTTTCTGTTAGCTTCCAAGCGTTGTGAATAAAGACTCTTTTGTTACACCGAGTCCATCCCTTTTCCACGGGCCACTGTGCCGTGGCAAGTTCAGGCACGCAAACTTCTAACACACAAAAAACATTCCAATACAAGGACTGGTCTAAAACAGTGAAAAGCAGCCTTTAGAAAGCTGCAGAGCTATTGCTCAAGAATACTTTAACAATACAGAAAAATCTGGCTGCTTGGATTATAAAGTAATGAGGGGTGGCCCAAGACTTTTGCATACTGTGTTTCAGCCCTTCACTCATTTTTATTTCCAGCCTTTGTTCATGTTTTTATGGTGTTTTCATCACTGCTGAGCATGAGTGTGTGTTTCAGCTCTCAGTTTGTTTTGCAGAGGGTGGCCGAGGCCCGGGTGTTTGTACGGGTCAGTTAATAAAACACGGCCTGGGAATTGGTCTGTGAAGTGAAGAGCTGCTGCTGTCTGTGTGCTGTTCATGCTTCAGCTACATCACAGACACCCTGAGTCTGCAGAGTCTTGATGAAGCTCAAAGCTGAGATAGAAAAGCTCTCTATGTTTTACTCTACATGTTTTTATTGAGTAAAACTAAATCAACACACAGATGAAGCAAAGTCAGCTCCACAACTTAGTCATTTGAGCAGAATAAAGCCCTCTGATTTCCAGATGGACGTCTGAACACCCATGTTTATTACATGTGTGGATGAGATGCTCCCCATCACCATGGTTACCTCTGGTCATTAAGGGGTCTCCCCACTCTGATGAAGGAGGTCATCACAGCAGACTGTGATGAAGCTACTTCAGAGACACACAAACTCAGATATCTGCAGGAGTGCTCTGACAGGTGGAGGCAGTTCCACCCACACAGAGGGGTGTCATTACTTTAAAACAAAAGGTGAATGAGCAGCTTCACTGACAGCCTGCAGACAGGCGATGCCTTGGATGCGACGAGCACAAGAACAGGTGAATAAACTGGAGCTTCTCTGATGAATCAGTGGCTCTGGGCTGCATCCTGACTCTTCTTCTGCATCTTTTTAATGAGCTGCCAGACCTCCACCTGTGACATAAAACTCACCTGGCCAAGACCCCCACCCCCAGGGCAGTCATATCCTGCTGGGTATCTGCTGTTACCCCACAGATCAGCTGCTCCCATCAAACAGTCTTTAATCTCTTTATTGTGTTTGTTCAAATGACACAGAAGTTTGCTCAGCTACATTTCATCACCTTCATGCCACAGATCAGAATACTACAAACACCATCTGTCCTCAACGAGCTTCACCACAAAACTGACGGAAACATCCAGGTCCACATGAAGCTCTCTGCTTCAGTCACAAAAACACTGTACAAACAGTCAAAGTAAATTCTTATGAGCTGCAAACTTTAAACACGGAAACAGTCAGATATCAGAAACATGTTTGCAGGTTTTATGCCTCTGGGCTGTAACATCTCCAAACTTTTAAAATAAGAGCACGCACACATTAAAACCTTAAGAAGTCTGAGAGTGTTTGAGTCGAGTTGAGTTCCACGCTGGGGCTTCTTCCTGTTGGATGTTGATCTGCTTTCACGTCTGACAGCAGAGCAGTTTGTGAAAGACGTTCCTGAACTCTGCATTGAAGGCCGTGTAGATAATCGGGTTGACAGCGCTGTTCACATAGCCAAGCCAAGTTACCACGGAGATGAGTGTGGGACCAATGTTGCATGACTGGCACAAAACTTTGGTGACATGGACAACAAAGAACGGAGTCCAGCAGGCCAGAAACACACCTGAGACACAGAGAGAGAGTTTCAGTTCAGTTTTATTTATATAGCCCAAATAACAACAACAGTTGCCTCAAGGCACTTTATATTGTAAGGTAAAGACTCTACAATAATACAATGAAAACAAAGAAAACCCCGACAATCATATTACTCCTTATGAGCGAGTGTTTTGGCGACAGTGGGAAGGAAAAACTCCCTTTAACTGGCAGGAACCTCCAGCAGAACCAGGCTTAGGGAGGGGCCGCCATCTGCCGTGTTCGGTTGGAGTGAGGAGAGGAAGACAGGACAAAGACTTGTTGTGGAAGTGTGCCAGAGATTAACAATGACTATTAAGTTTGAATTTTGAATAAACCTGGTGAATTACATTTTAGGGAAAGAAGTTTAAGCACTGTGGTGCATTCACAGAGACTCCAGTCTTCCTGCAGACCAGTTTATCCAAAATGACTCCTACCTCTGTTTTTACTCAACACTTGATCTGTTTGATGTTCCTTTGAAGCTCTAATTGCATGTTTTCTCTTTAACTAAATCCTTCACACCACCTTCAGCCTCATGGTTTTGGATGAGCTGTGAGTGTTAAACACTTTGTGGTGTGAATTAAAGCAGTTTCCACAGAGATACAAGAAGAAGTTTCTATTTTTACTGAGATTCACTCAACAAAACATTACGGTTAGTGCAGAGACGTCCAGCAGAGCCAGCTCTCGTTTAGATGAAGAGACACAACAACAAGCCGTGCTGATGAGCTTTTGTGTTCACATTTATCTCAATGTCCATTTCTTAATGCAACAACTTTGAACATAATGATGTTTGAAACTGTGTCTGCGCTCATTTGCTTGTTAATAATAGTTGGAAGTTTCTGACAGATTGAATTCTTGTCTGTAAACCTGACTTATGAGACCTGGTTTCTGATGCACTGGCTCTATTTGGGTCGACTGATCCTTCAAAGTTAAGGATGTTGCAGATCAATACACAGTTTGATCACCTCCATCCTCTGATCAGATGTTTCTGTCTGACTTGGGTGGTCTTCTTTTGGCACTGCACAGCAGAGCTCATTTAATGGTTTGATGAAGAAGATGTGCACTCTCCACTAAAACATCAAATGAGGGAATGTTTATGGTGCATTAACAGCAAATAGAAAGTTTTTTACACAGTGCAAGTCCAAACCTTAGATCTTGCTTTTACACAGAGAGAGTAAAACCTCGTAAAAACTTGTAACTTCTAAAATATGTAATAGCTGTTATAGTCTTCCTCCTGTTGGCTGTTGGGACATATATTTGGCTATTTGAGTTAAGTAAGGTAAAACAGGTTTGGTGTGAATGCACTGTAAGAGCTGAGTCAAAAGAATGTATGTAGACCTTCAAAGCTGTTCTGGCCCCATGTGTTCTAGTTACACTTCTGAGAGCTTTAGTTTTATAGAAATATCTCTGGAAACGTTAGACCTGTTGCTGCTTCAAACCTCCATTTGTATCAGATTTGCACCCACTTCAGAAGTAGACCTCCTTTACACTTGGATCTGCCTCAGAGCTGGGAATACAGTATACAATGAAAAAAAGGAGTTTGTTCAACTTTTTTGTACAGAAACTGTAAAGTCAGTATTTGGTGTGACCACCTTTATTCTTCACCAAACCCAAAGCTATCTTAGGCTGTTTTTTCCTAACCTTTCTTTCTTTCAGAACCAGGTACGACTTCAGATCTGGTACTACTCAGACCTACTACTGGCTTAGAACTGGTCTTATTTTCTACCTGTTTGTGTCTTAGACCTGCCACTATTTAAGATCTGGTCCTACTTTAGACCTGCTACTTCAGATCTAGCCCTGCCTCAGACCTGATACTACCTTTGACCTGATCCTGCCTTAGACCTGTTCCTCCCTTAGATCTGGATCTATATCAGACTTGGTCCTACCTTATACCTGTCACTACCTTGTCCTGGTGCCTCACAGTTGGACTGGAGAATCAGCTACAACTATGAGAAGGAAGAACTCTGAGGCTGGTCCTCCCCATAGTTCTAGGCGATTCCTGTCTCAGATTTAGTCCCACCTAAGACCTGGTTGAACTAACACCTGGACATGAGACTCACCTACAACCACGGGCAGGACCTTCATTGCCTTGCGCTCACGGCCGCTGACCCTGCTGGTCTTGCTCTGCCTCCTCCCCTTCTTTTTTGCAGCGCTGCCTTTCAGGCCATTCTCTCGACGGCTGCCACCCTCCCTCCTATCCGTGGGGTCACCATCCGACAGGCTGTCCATTTGAGTCGTCATTGGGTCACTGTCTGCCACCACTGCTATACCATCCTGGTGTTCCTCCATTACCGGTGTCACTGAGGGTGTTGCCATAGACACGGTGGAGGGAGACGTGGGGCTGAGCCCGGGGGGCGCTGTATATACCACTTTTTCTTGACTGCCAGCTGTCGTGGCTTTAGCTCGCCGTAGAGCTGAGCTGAGCTGTAAAGAGAAGACTTGCCGACCAGCCCGGCCTGCTTGGGAGCGGCTCCGCCCACTCCAACGCCGCAGGCCTCTAAACATCCAGTAATAGAGGAAGAGCATGACAGGACAAGGCACAAAGAAGGAGCAAACAGACGAGTACACCACAAAGCGATCGTCCTCTAATTTACACACACTCGGGTCACGATCCGGCACCTGATTCAGACCAAAGATGACAGGACTGGCCACACCCAGTGACAGCACCCAGGTCGCTGTGATGAGAGCCAGCTGACGAACACTGAACTGGTTCCTGTTGTACTTCAGGGGGACCACCACTGCGATGTACCTGCAATAGCAGAGAGACAGAGGAGGTTTTAGGTTTATAGGCAAGTATTTGGACTGACTTAAACCAAGAGATTAGTTTTTATACTGATCACAGGGAGAATCAGACCACATATAACAAAATCCATCTCTACAGGCACTCTACAGGGGCAGAATTACCTCAAGAGAGCAGCAACGACTCATCCAAGAAGTAATAAGAGACACCAGAACAACATCCAAAGAACTGCAGGCCTCACTTGCCTCAGTAAAGGTCAGAGTTCATAACTCCACCATAAGTATTGACTAGGCAAAATGGGTCTGAGGTCAAAGAAAAAAACACTGCTGACCAAAAGGAACATACTGGCTTGTCTCAGTTTTGCCAGAAAACATCTCGATGATCCCCAAGATGTGTTTTGGGAAAATATTCTGTGGACTGAGGAGACAAAAGCAGAACTTTTTGAACAAGAGTGTCCTGTTACATCTGGTAATGAAGCATTTCAGGAAAGGAACATCAAACTAACAGTAAAATATGGTGTTGGTAGTGGGCTGTTTTGCTGCCTCAGGGCCTGGAAGACTTGTTGTGTTAAATGGAACCATGAATTCTACCAAAACATCCTGAAGGAAAATGTCTGGGCATTTGTTTGTGACCTCAAGCTAAAACGCACTTGGGTTCTGAAACAGGACAATAATGCAAAACACAACAGCAAGTCCACCTCTGAATGGCTTAAGGAAAACTAAAATGTAGACTTTGGAGTGGCCTAGTCAAAGCCTTGACCTGAATCCAACTCAGATGCTGTGGCATGACCTTAAAAAGGTGGTTCATGCTAGAAACCCTTCCATTGTGACTGGATTGCAATAATTCCACTGTAAAAGACTCAGTGCCAGTTATTCATTGCAGTTGTCGCTGCTAAGGGTGGCCCAACCTTGTATTAGCATTAGGGGACAATCATTTTTTCACACAGGGCCATGGAGGTTGGGATTTATTTTTCCCTTAATAATAAATACCTTCATTTAGAAACTGCATGTTGTGTTTACCTGCATTATATTTGTTTAATATTTAGATTGGTTTGATGATCTGAAACATTTAAGTGTGACAATCATACAAAAAGTAGGAATTCAAGAAGGGGGCAAACACTTTCAAACCACTATGTGTGTGTGTGTGTGTGTGTGTGTGTGTGTGTGTGTGTGTGTGTGTGTGTGTGTGTGTGTGTGTGTACTTTTTTCTGATTAATTCTGGAAAATGTTCTATACTAAGAATCTGGACACTGGATCCCCTCATTAGCTCTCAGGTAAACTGCAGGTGTGGGCAGAATGAGGCTGTATCCAAAATTGTGTGTGTGTATGAGGTGTCACCGCAGCCTCTTCTCGGCTCAGAGGCTTTAAATAGAGACTGTAGCACCACTGGTAAAAATAGGTTTGGTGCCTGTAATCTCTGGCATATTTGACTCACTGAATTTCTTTTTCTCAACACTTTGTGTCAGTTGGTTCATTAACAGCTGCTGTCTGTAAAAATCAGGATGAAGTCACGTGTTATCTCATTAATGAGGTGTCAGCAGTGTGACTACAGCGACATGACTGAAATAAAGTTACAATGTGAGAAGAGAAGAAGAGCACACTTTTATTTAACGTGTCTCTTCATTAAAATCTATTAAACTGACTGAGGGACATAGCAGGTCACATGACTCTGTGATGAGGAAATATTTCCATCTCAGACAGTTCAAAATCTTAATTACACCTGCAGCAGATGTGCTAATGATCCTGTTACTGTGACCTGAATCCACAGCTGGACTCACCTGTCTACGCTGATGGCACACAGGTTTAGGATGGAGGCAGTGCACAGCATCACGTCCATGGTCATCAGAGCATCACAGATGTAGGTGCTCAATGTCCAGATCCCCCCCAAGAACTGCACACAGAGAGAGGGCCTTCAGGTAAAACTGGGAGCACACCTAAGCTCAGAGCACACCTGAGCCCAGGCGGCTCAATCACACTGACCTCTGAATAGACGTAGAGCGGCAGCACGAGCACGGCCAGCAGCAGGTCAGCCACCGCCAGGCTGATGATGAAGTAGTTGGTGGCGGTTTTCAGAGAGCGCTCCGTGAGCACGCTCAGACACACCAGCACATTCCCCAGGATGATTACCAGGATCAGTGGCACCCCTAGAACCAAGGCCAGGTAATTGTATTCCTTCAAGTCTGGCTCACCTGGAAGGGCACCAGGTGTCACATTGTCCATGATGGAGGCCCTAAGCACAGCTGCAGGGCTTTGCTCAACATCTGGACATGACACAGTTACTGTGTTATTGCTTCTTCGAAGTAATCTGAGCATTTAAACCAAGTACTCAAAGTAAGGCAGACTTACCTTGCTGCTTCCTGTACCGTCCGTGGTTTCAGGTGAGTTTCAGTGTCAGCACCTATTTGCTTCAGGTCTTTCTCTTTGTTCATCATTGTTGTTTTCTTCTGCAACTGTAAACAACAAACAATAACCTCTTTACATTAATTGTATTCATCCGCAGTTAAAAGTACTCCTGGTGTCTGCATCAGTGCAGGTGATGGGGGGGCACTTGTGTTGCTCTTATTTTGGTGGTTACATAAGGAAGTGGAGCCCGTTTTATTAAATGTCAGCCTATTGTTTGCTGAAGTGTCTCCTCTCAGAGACAATCACATCTTAGAGCCGCTCTCATCCTGCTCTTCATCCTCTGTTACCATGACGACCACAGACCATGGCTGCCAACATTACATGTAAACACACACACACACACACTGAGATGTGTGTGTGCTTATTAACGGGCTCGATTTAACCTAAGGTTTTTTTTAATCAGCTGATAGATAATCAGCTGCGATATGTTTCTGAAGGATTTGTGAGCAACTAAGCTAACACGGGACATTTAACCATCATTTAACCATTTACAACAGGTGAACACACGATCATCTGCACACCTGAGACAGGTTTTTTTCACAACTGTTTGTTTCACAAGGGGTGGAGCCTGACCCACCTGACTCAGCAGCATATGAAAACACTGAGTTTGTGTGAGGCTGCCCTCCAACAGCAGCACAGTGAAGTGAGGTCAGGCTCTAACTGTGAACATCTGTGCAGCAGATTAACTATGTTAGGTGGAGGGAGCTGAGCTTGCTTTGTGTTTATGTTCACTGTAATCCTCACAGCAGGACAACGTCCAAGAAAGCTCCTCTTCCTACCTCCACCCAGACTCCCAAACACAGCAGGACGATCAATAATCAATAATGATGAGAAAGAAACACCAACAACCTGTCTGTCTCCAGCACCTGCTCTCTGTAGGTCCAAGTTAGCATTATTGGGGGCGTGGCCTCTCTGACTGACAGGTGAACCTCTGAACTGTGTGTTGTTGGAGCCTTTTGGAGCATTTGTAATGATGTCACCTGACCAGTAATGTGGCTGCTGTGAGGTTATTGGACTATCTGATGTTACTGATCAGCAGGTGTGTGACTCTGTGAAGGAAAACTGATAACCAGAAAATTACCTAGCTGTCAGCTGGCGTCACAAAAATCTTTTACATACAGTCTGTGAGCTGAGGGGTAAAATAAACACAGGAGTTTAAAATCTGCACATAGGGCATTTTCACTCCTCGCCTCCTAGAAAGGTGCATCTGCATTTGAGCAAAAAATGTATCAAGTTATCGGTCTGTACCTGTGGATCTTTTATCTGAATATAAGCTAATACAGATCAACATCAGTTACCATGGCAATGTAGCAGATAAGGCCCACCATAATTGTTAAAGACCTTCTCCAGCTTCAAGGTGCTAAAGCTTCTTCCAGATGTTCTCAGTGGGGACATCCACACACTGAAACACAGTGCCACCTAGTGCATAACATCCTCTGGCAGAAATCCTCCTCCTCTCATTAACAAGCGAATAAAAACAATGCTTAACCAATAATAATTGGTTAAGCTGCTGTCAGATGGTTTTGAGCTAGCTCCTGAAAAGATGTGACAATTTGTGAGAAAAAGCTTCATCAGAGTCACAGAATTGCTCCTCTAAAGACAAGAAACAGGCAAACAGCGCACCCACATGGCTGACTCTATGTGACTGTGACCTTTTTCTGCTGTCATTAGAGAAGCACTAATTTAGTTAAACTTTATTCATACTTATTTGGTTAGCGGCAGCTGGTTCTTCACCATGTAGCTACCACACACAGATTCTCTCTCTCTCACACACACACACACACACACACACATGGACAGGTAGACGGGATGAGTCTGTCATGTTTTCAGCACGCTCCTTTATAAAGATGTCCTGGCAGGTTTGTGATCAACCTGTTGATTGGTTCTTGTTAGGTTTGTTGTGCCAGCAGCACACCTGCGTGTCAGGTAACAGCAGCCAGAGAGAGAGAGGAGGCGAAGAACACTGCGAGGAGTGTCACCTCCAAAATAAGAGATCTTTTTCCTAACAGAGGAGGAGGCGGACATGTTAAATCTCTGCGCTGAGAAACCATAGCAACTGACGTGAAGACGTTTCCACAAGTTAATCAGAGTGTGTCACGGAGGAAGAGTGAGGGCGTGGGCCTCAGAGATGAGCAGAGTATGTGCAGGGAGCAGCTCCAGGTGGATGGACGTGAGAGGATGCAGCGTGGGTTTTCACTCATTGTCTTTGTGTTTTCATGCTTCCTCCGAGCTGCTGCGGTGGCCCTCGCTCTCAGGTTTACGTCTCGTTACCTGAACAGGTACTCTAGGCTCACCTGCAAACATCCAAACAGGACCCGACATACCAACCCAAAACCTCCTGGTGAGTCTGTCATAATAAAGACAGCAGGTCATGATGTCACCAGGTCACATGACACAGTCCATAATCCATAATCCATGAATGGGTCATAATTATGCAGCACATCTGTCACATCTGTAATCTGATTAAATTTAGGTCATCTCATAATTTCACAATAAAAGCCTTTCTGATGATTTTTTTTAAATAAAAACACTAAACTTTATTTATAATTCTTCATTGACAAAATGTACACAGGCTGTCAGCACCACATGATTAAACCAAGTCATCCAATCAGCGAGAGGCGCCGAAAACCGTCAACGAGCCTCAAACCTGCAACCACACACACGATCATCACAGACACGCTTTAACCAACCTCACTCTGAGCCAGCAAAGGGTTAAAAACTCTGAGTGCTGGAAATGAAGCCATCTGAGCCCAGTGTGGAGTCTTCTCAGATAACACACACACACACACACGTAGGTTTAATGTTGGTTATGAAATCCAGTTATAAAGCAATGAGATGCTGAATGATATATTTTCGTATTGTCTCTGAGTTAATGCTTCACATAGTTTTGCTCAATGTTTCATAAAATCATCTGCATCGCGTTACATCAGGTGTCGATCCTGATTAAATAAGAGGACATCACTTGTCAGCTTTAAATCCAGTTTATAAACGTCACTCACTGACCGGCCCTCACCTGTGAGAATAATCCGTGGCCTTGCTCAGATCGTTAGCGTTATTTTGTGTGCCTGTAAACGCAGCAGCTACAGCTCTGTGTCTGAAGCGGTTTGTCTGTTTGCCGACATTTGTTGAGAAAAGTTTGTGGTTTTCTGAACTTACGTTGCTTCGCTTCTTTATTGCTAGCTAGATGCTGAGTGTCACCACTGCAGCTTTATGGACATCTGCACCATGAACACAGATCGATGGTGAGAACAGGTCGAGTATCTCTATTCTGTAGCTGGACAGACCACCAGGTGGTAGCTAAGGGAAAACTAATCCATTAGTTGGTCCAGATCATTCCGGCCCGCTTAACCCACGGTGTTGTCCACCATTTCCACTGGCTGATTCTTCAATCGCCTGCCTTAGAGGTGACAAAGCTTGACCTCAGGCCCCACCCACTGACAGTTATGGAGTTTCCCATCGCTGGTATCGTTCTGGGTTACACCGCCTCCTAAACCTGACCAGAGAGGTTTCGTCTCATAGCTTAAAGCTGAAAAAAATTGGATCCTACATATGGATAACTGAGTGAGCCTCGCATGATGTCACAGTGGTGAGATGAAATCCTGAGGGTCACAGCAAGGAGGAAATCTGGCATTTATAACTGCAGTGTCTCTGCTCATATCATTCGGTGCTTATTTAAAGTTAAACTAAAATGAAACTAATTTTAAACTAAACCAGTTTGGGCACAATCATGCTACAAGATACAAAAATGGATGTCGTCCTCAGAAGTGAGGTGACCTCACCAGTCATAAAAAAACTCAGCCTGTGGGGGTGCTGTGATGTCAGAGAGGTTTGTGAGCATGATCAGTGTTTTTATGACCGCACACAGAAGTTAAATTTAAAAATTAAAGTGCGGCAGAGAAAACAAACATGTGATGATGACAACATCATTAAAATAATTAAAGGCTGTTCGAGGCGCCAGAGGCAGACTGATGGGATTAACTGAAACCTGCTGCCAGATTCATTCTCAAACATCACGTCAGCTTTAATGCTCGGGTGTAAGCAGATTCACTTCAACTTTATTATGTTACATGATCTAAAACAATTGTGTTATATTTTATTAAATATATTGTGCAATATAATATGATATTATGTTATGTTTATTTTAATCAAAGCCTAACAATATTGTGGACAAAGAAACAAACTCACGTTTCAGAGCTGAAGCAGCATCGTCTGTTCCTCCTCTTCCACTTCTGTGAGTCTCTTTGTTTTGTCTATGATCCAGAGTTTGGTCATCATCCTCCTCCTCTTCCTCCTCCTGTGTGAATATTTTTCTCCTTCTGTGAATCTCTTGCTCCTTCCTCTCTTCACGTCTCATCTGACAAACTTTTGTCTCCTCGTCTATAAAAAGCTACCCACCTCCTCCTCCTCCTCCTGGTGTTCCTGCTCTCTGATTGGCTAACAGTCAGCAGTGATATACTGACTCTCCTCCCTTCCTTCCTCGGTCATCAGGTGCTTTTTCTTCTTCTTCTGTGGTATTTTGTATCTGCTGTTGTCATACCTGTGTGCTGTCAGGTGTGTGTGATGGACAGGTGTTCTGATTTTTATGGATCATCATTCAGATGAGATCAGGTGACCAGTCAGGTGACTGTTGATGTCTTTAAGGGCATTAAATTAAAAAGAGGTTTTCAGTGTGACTGAGGAAGGCTCCTCCTCCTCTGTGACCTTTAGCTGCTGCCTGATGGATGAAGACCGTCACCTCCAGCTGTGTCTGTCAGACCCCACTGCAGGCGAAGCCTAAAGGTGCCTGAGGATGCTGAGTCAGCATTGCTTATTTTTTTTAACTGTAGCCATGGGAATGGCACCAACCTGCAGGTGTTTCTGACCTGGGATCAGAGGCTGAAAGGCTCTTCATACTAATCTTCTTTTAGAAGTGCCAACGTGTAGAGACAGGAAGTGACACGGTTCTGCTCTTTAATTACTTCATCATTAACAAGCTGTTCACCTGTCAAACTTTTCCCCTGGACTTTCACGTTCATCTGTAACTCCACCTACTCCAACTCCTCTGGGGAAAAACCAGGCAAGAGTCCCAGCTCTCCTCCAGGTGGACAGAACACCTGAGTGAGCTCCAGTGACCTGGAGGTTCACGATCGATCGACAGCTCTCTGTTCGCCGCAATAGACCAGCTTGGAGGAAAAAGTGATGGGATGAAGACAGGACAAAGACATGCTGAGGAAGGGAGCCAGAGATTAATAATAACTAATGATTAAATGCAGAGAGCTGTATAAAGCCATATAAATACTCAGTGCATCATGGGAATCCCCCAGCAGCCTATACCTATTGCAGCATAACTAGGGGAGGATTCAGGGTCACCTGATCCAGCCCGAACTATATGTTTTATCAAAAAGGAAAGTTTTAAGCCTAATCTTAAATGTAGAGATAGTGTCTGTCTCCTGAATCCAAACTGGAAGCTGGTTCCATAGAACAGGGGGCTGAAAGTTGAAGGCTAAATTCTGGATTTATCAGGGAGCCAATGAAGGGAAGCCAATATAGGAGAAATATGCTCTCTCTTTCTAGTCCCTGTCAGTACTCTTGCTGCAGCATTTTGGATCAACTGAAAGCTTTTCAGGGAGTTTTAGGACATCCTGATAATAATGAATTGCAGTAGTCCAGCCTAGAAGTAATAAATGCATAAACCAGTTGAGACAGGATGTTTCTAATTTTAGAGATATTGCACAAATGGAAAAAAAAAGCAGTCCTATATATTTCTTTAAATATATGCATTGAAGGACATATCCTGGTCAAAAACGACTCCAAGATTCTTCACAGTGTTACCGGAAGCCAAAGTAATGCCAACCAGAGTAAGAATCTGGTTAGATACCATATTTCTAAGATTTTTGGGGCCAAGTACAATAACATCAGTTTTATGTGAATTAAGAAGCAGAAAATTAGAGGCTTCATGGACAGGGGCGGATTAAGAGAAATTTTCTTAGGGTGGCAAAGAAATCAAATGGGGTGGCAAAATCAAAGCCTTTTTTTTTTTCAAACACATATGCAGGTGGTTACGTGTGGTTAAAATAATTCAAATGCAGTAAGTATACACGTTTTTCATATAAATATAGTCTATAACTTAATTATTGTCTGTAGCCCACATAATTACACACTTTAGTTACATAAAACATGTGAGTTTTGATGTTATGTGCTGTATAGCCTGTATAATAAATAAATATGTAGCCCAATAAGTATAAAATCCAGAAAGCTACACAACATGGGGCGATTGGTTCATTTACAAACACAAGTCTAACTTAAGTTTTTTGTTAGAAAACAATCACATTGTTAGATGCTTAAATTACACAAAATGTCAGAAATCTGCACTGTCATGAAAATTTTAACCTAATTTTTCATGATTTGTTGGATTAACCCACTGAGGTCTGAAATACAAACAGCCATTTTTGACTCCTTTTGAGTATTTCACCCTCAGATTGTTTCATTTTATTTTTTTCCCCTTGCCTTGTTTGGTATCATTCTTTTTTTCAGCTCATCTGAATTTAGTTGTTTTTCACTGAAATACTGCATTAGTACTACTATTACTATTAATAGTACTATTACTGATCTAAAATCACACAAAAAACTTAAAATCCCAGTAGTATTTTTTACTGTAAAACAACCCCCCACCAGACATGTTGAGTAAATTTTTATAACTTGAAATGCAAATATAATATAATTGTACATTTTGTAAACATATACAACTATTTATCTAAAAATGCAGCCAATACACCTGCCGTTTTTTGGGTTGTTTTTTTTTTCATTTTCTACAACCATTTAAAAATATTACTAAAACCAAAGTGAGAGAACAATCAGGTGTTGCATTAAGAGGATTTACTGGCCTGTAATTAAAATGTAAAAACTTTGAAGTCTGAACTTTCAATGTGGGCTGAAATAAAGAGTCAGCGTGGCTGCAGCTTTTTGCTATGTCAGCTTAGATCAGTCATGTGATTTGGAGGTGCAGCATGTCCGTGGACCACAGAGGGTTCATAACACTCACCTTCCTTCCATTTCCACAGTGTAACATCCAACCATCTGTGTAAGATCCGAAATTCCCATGGTGTTGTTCAAAATGTGCTCTGGCACAATCATAAACATCACTTGTTACTGAAAACAAGAAAAAAGCCGGTCCTGCTATGGGCTGAACCATTTGTTAATGGTGGAGGGGGGAACACTATGCAATATATTCCATTTTAGCATTTATATTCACTGTTGAGTGTAACTACGCTCAAACTGTTAATGCTATCTTATTGTAATAAACAACACTGTTATATGCAAAACTCGCGTGGCACTTGGGGTGGCAAGGGATCATTTTAGGGTGGCACTTGCCACCCCATGCCACCCTTCTAGATCCGCCCCTGTTCATGGATAGATAAAGTTGGGTGTCATCTGTATACCATGCCTTCTGACGGAACTGCCTAAGGGAAGTATGTATAATGTAAAAAGAATTGGTCATAATTGTGTTTATCTTATACATGTCGATCACATGTGGAAACAGACAAGTGAGAAGTTTGTGTGTGTGCTACAGCTGAATGTTTGTGCCTGATCTCCTGTGTGACCCAGGGCTCCGTGTTGGTTGGAGATGATGTTATTGTTCACTGTGCAGAGCTTCATGATGAGAGCGCTGTTCATGTTAATGAGCTGTCATTTATTAGCATCTGTGAGAGGAAGCAGAGTCCTTTTATCCTGCTCATGCTGCTGCTGCACAAATGTGTCATACATGACTGATCTGGAGAATCTAAACAACGCTGTAACTCATTTGTGGATGAATCTGTCGCAGCGGGTGTGTTCTGGTCCTGATTCAAACAGGCGAGTCTCTGATTGCAGACATGAAAACATGCTAATGAGGTGCACACGGCCCTACTCACGCATTTCATTTGTTTCCTAATGGAGCCCAGCAAGTGCTGCCACTGATCTGCATAAAACCTTTGAAACAGTCTTAGAACCTCAGTTACTCCATCAGCCCTCACTGTCAGTTCATAGCGATGAAGCTCTGCTGGTTGAGATGAATTACGTCATTAATCGTCTTTGGGTCACACCTTAAATTTATTTATGTATGGTTTCTACGTTAACTCTGTGATGTTGTTCATATCAAGATAGAGAAAATCTCTAAGGAGCCTTTCCAGCTTCACGTTGAATCTGAGGCGTAAAGAATTATAGCAACTCTGAAAGAAAAAGGAGCGCCACTCCAAGGTGTACTTAATAAAGCGGCAGGTGGGTATATATACCTGTCTGATTAGCAGTGTCATGATGTACACCTGAGATGCAAAACTGAGTACCTGCTTCGACCTGTATTTGGGGCGATCGTGGCTCAAGAGTTGGGAGTTCGCCTTGTAATAGGAAGGTTGCTGGTTCGAGCCTGGGCTCTGACAGTCTTGATTGTTGTGTCCTTGGGCAAGACACTTGACCTGTTGCCTACTGGTGGTGGTCAGAGGGCCCGGTGGTGCCAGTATCTGGCAGCCTTGCCTCTGTCAGGGTGGCTGTGGCTACAATGTAGCTGCCATCATGTGTGTGTGAATGGGTGGGTGACTGGATGTGTAAAGTGCTTTGGGGTCCTTAGGGACTAGTGAAGCGCTATATAAATACAGGCCATGTACTTGCTCCACCATAAGTTTATATGCATTTATACACCTCTCTGCATTTAATCATTAGTTATTATTAATCTCTGGCTCTCTTCCACAGCGTGTCTATGTCCTGTCTTCTTCCCCTCACCTCCAACATGTTGCAGGAGATGGTCGCCCCTCCTGGTTCGCCTGGAGGTTTCTTCCGGTTAAAAGGGAGGGTTTTCTTCCCACTGTCACCAAGTGCTTGCTCAAAGAGGGAATTCTGATTGTTTCGGTTTCTCTGCATAATTCTAGGTCTTGACCTTCCAATGTAAAATGCTTTGAGGGGACTGTTGGTGTGATTTGGAAAATGAAAAAATAAAACTGAACTGAACTTGGTTCCACTGAAGTGCAATCTCAGTTCTGACAGTGTGTTACTCATAGTTTGAAGTAATCTGACTGAAAGCAGAGATGGATTCAGGACTGTGTGTGTGTCAGTCATATGTGTGAAACTATGAGAAAGGCTAATGTCTTGGTGAAAGCTGGGGATTCACTCGATGAAGAAGAGTGGTCTAAGCCCATCCTGCCTGTCTTTGCAGGACAATGAAAGCTGGTTCTTTCTCAGAGGAGGCTCTGAGGGTCTGCAGGTTTTCTCCAGGCTCTCCCTGTGTGTGTGTGTGTGTGTGTGTGTGT